TTCCAATCCGCGTAGGGGTGGGCGTCCTCGCGGTATACTCAGCCCGCGCGCGACTGGTGGTGGTCGCGCGGCAACGAAGCGCCGTTACGACGTATAAGCTGACACACACACACACACACACACACATTGTGCCGTACAATAGAGCCACCTCACTTTAGAAGCATAAGGACAACCGATCTCCTCGTTGACCACCAATGCCTGTGTGTGTAACACTGGCAACTTGCCACTCGTCATAGTTCCACTGACACCATAGTCGATCGGTTGGTGAACTCGACCGATCTGTGCTACCAAGACGCTGTCTTTCGAGTGCTTCTCGCCCACTCGATCTGACGTTTATTGTTTGTCAACACTACGCGCAATTAGTAATACACCAAGATTGTCAGCCGACAACCCCAGAGAAATTGTAAGTAAATTGATGGAATGCTTTTATCTGATTGCCATACTATAACTTACTGAAGGCGACCCACGGAATAGTTCATTGTTATGGTTCGTTTACAAAGTCAGCGACTGTACGATCGCATCTCACTCCTACAGCACTTTTCCGATACTTCTCCGCCTTCATTATTGCCTGTAGCGTTTCATCTCCTTCGTTTTTCTTCACCATCGACAATTTGTACTTTCGTTTCGGCACGAATGCAATCGGTTGAATCCACTGTGCTTGGACGCACGTTTCATGTTACCTATGTGATTCGCTAGCGCTCAACCAAATCGCCACGTGTTGACACGCCAGTTTACATGCGTGTGGCCGACTTTCGGTTAGCGGCAACTCTTTACCAATCGATCGGAACATGATTCGACCAAATGCACCACCGTGCGTGTGTGTTCACAGGGTGCAGATTGCTTGATAAGCCGGCGGTCGATTGCCATTTGACCTGCGCAATAAGGCTGCTTTCACCATCGATTGGGATTCCGAGCGCATGTACATATCCGTCGCGTTGTGTGGCTAGGTAGAAGTGCATAGTGAAAGCAAGTTTGAATAATCATTACGAATTGGGTGCACAACCCCCTTCCGCTCCGCTCTGCCGCCCTCCTCGGTGTGGCCAAATGATTTACTCGAAGACTGAGGAGATTGTATGAGTTTATTGACTGTAAACTGCTCACATTTCTGGACGCACCGAAAGGAGAGGCGCCAGATATTGATTAACTCATGTGATGAGTTAGAGGCGTGACCGAGCGAGGAAATTGAACCTCATAAGAAGACAATGGTCTGCCTACCTCAGCTATTCACTGCACCACGCCGAACGGCGCTCCGTAGTTCCTTCAGATCCGCGGGTCAGACAAACTCAGTCTTAGCGTTCCCCTTATCGGAAGTTGAAGACACATGTGTGACCCTTTTCCTACAAAGAGCTATGTGAAGCAAATGTTAAGGTTACGAGCTCACGTAGATTTGTGGAAGGTACGGGTGCCGCACACTGTCTCTGATGGTTGACGAGCACCACTCATGCACAGTGGGTTTATGCCGCCCACCTCAAGCCTGCTAGCACGTGGTCAGTTAGAAGCAAATTCGGAAAATTGCATCTACAGCTGGCCGTAGCATAAGTAAAAAGAAAACACGCGCAGTAGGATTCTGCGATCATACTCTCATGCTACAAATGCTCTCCCCACCATCACTGAATCACTGGCCATGAGTTGATTCCCTTACTCAAGCCTCCATTTAACCCACTACTTTATGTTTAAACTCTAAGGTCAACTACCTTGGGCAAGTGCTCCTGGACAAAACCCCTCTTGGAATGCGCAACCGAATAGTATCACCTGCTCACCAATCACCGTCTCCAGTATTGTGGGCTGGTGAGATCCACCACCACTTCTTTCATTCACTCTCATAGGTATGCGAGGCTCATATACCGTTTTTCAGTTCGGCACAACGTTAGCTGACTAAACGCAAAATATACACAAACAGAGCCTGCAAGTAGTCTGCATTGGCAATAATCTCTGGATTGAAGGCCTATGTGCTCCACGCACACGCAGATCAAGGTTGCATTTTACATTGCTCCACAGAGACGCGGAATGTTTCCCTTGAGCGCATTGACAGCAATCAGCTTGGTCACTGGTTACGCGGTAAGACAAGCTCTGCCTCCTCATAGCTCCAGAATAATGGTGCAGTGACTCTTATTCCAGAAAGCTTGACTTATCCTGTGATCCGTTGCCGTAATCGCGTCTCCCTGCGATGCGGCTTCTCCGTGAAAGGCTGTTTAACAATCTTAATCACTCTCTTGTCTACGTTAGGGTGCCTTGGCACTGTCCTAACTCACGTACAATTACCTCTATCTCATCAGAACCCAACTTTTCCAAGACGTAAGCTGTGAGATGACTTTGTCATTTCGTGCAAGCTCGCCTGTCACAATCATGCAAAATTGGTAGATATGTAAATCACAGTGGAAAGCGCGCACAATGCAACTGAACTGCCGTTGCCCATGTCAACAAGACCTGATTATGTGTTCCATCGATAACACCGGTAACGAGGCAGTGCATGTCCCATTGGTTTTACAAATTCACCTATAACTGTGGAGACAGCTATTTCGGGCGCACTGTGTCAAAACCAGTGAACACATTTGTAAGTGCTTACGCAGACGGATGGCATCGATGACTGCGGAATCGAATAATTTAACGGATCCAGCTGTCTCGGCCTTACAAGGCACTTGCTGAACACTGGTCACCTAATCAATCTAGATGAGTCATTCGCTGTTCTGATGCGCAATCAGCGGCCCCACGTCTTTTGGCTACCAGATGCATATGTCATCGATCGAGAACTGTCAGTACTTTGCGTGCAGAAACAGTTTACTGTGTGCCTGAGCTTACCATCAGCGCCGATTGGCTATCAATATGACTGTATTTGTATCTTTATCATTTTTGATTGTTTATACTTGACGAGTGTGCACTAAGTAACTGAATTATCTCACAGTTTAAGTTTTTTTTTGTTTTTCTTGGTTGGAATTATGCGGGAGATTCCATTCGATTTCTCCCACTCCTGGCCTCTATTTCACAGTAACCTACTATCCGCAAAGCTGATGGCCGAAGGGATTAGACGTCTGCTTTGTCACCCAAACGTTTACCAATCTAATCTGTCTAGAGATGTGGGTGACCCCTCACAGTATCCCTAGCCCCCCCCCGGGCACGACTGATATCGGTTGTGTGAGAACGAAGCGTCTGACTTGCCGGCGTACAACGAATGGCCTCACAATGCCACGTGCAGCAGAATATGATTTGCTTGAGACCTGTTACACACGTCCATAGAAGTATAGGGCCAATTTATACGTGCTCTTTTGTAATGTCAACTAATTCATCTATGACTGCGGCAAATCGCAGATGACTTTTGGCTATTTTCGCCACATGGACTGCAGCAAACTAGAGTGGGTACATTCCATGTCATCTTGAACCCGATATTGTGAAGTTCTAGTCATATGTAAGAACTGTTTCTTTTTCATAATTTCAGAAGGTTTTGAATACAAATTAGTTTTGGTAAGGTTTTATTGTGGCAACGTTTCGCCCTTGACACAAGAGCTTCTTCAGGCCAGGTGAATCGGTACAGACTTAGCTTGGCTTTTTAAGGGAACGTGAGATGAAGGTTGCAAGACATAACATGAACCATTGGATAACAATGTTACAGATCAATAGGTCAAGTGGCCATGCTAGTGAAACAACATGCATCGAGCGTTTCTCATTGACCCACGTCACCGGTCGTTCACACGTGAGGCATTCTTTTCTTGCAGCTGCTGATTCACTCTCCGACCTGAGTTCCTCCGCCGACACCTTTTCTGACTGACCGCGTTAACACAGCCCGCCACGCGTTCGATAACTCCACCCCGTCTGTTCTGTTCACACAGTTATTAGTCTTAGTAATCTCGATCGCCTCAGCAATCAACCTTTGGCTTGTTGCTGGTAATCCCCTCCTAAGTATATCGACATTTTCCCAATCAATCTTGTGTCCTGCCTCTAGCGCATGTACGGCCGCCGCTGAATCTTTTAGTAGGGCCCTGTATTCAGGCTCATTTCTCGGTGGACGCGAAACGTACTTCTTGTGTTCTGCTATCCTCGTGCGTAGCTCTCGCTGTTTGACCTATATACACGCGTTCACAGTCTTTGCATTTGATTTCATAAATACAATTGGTCGTCCTGTCCCTTGGAATTGGATCCTTCAAACGCACAAGTGCGTTCCCATAGAAAGCTAAGCCAATTTTGTACCGATTCACCTGGCCTGAAGAAGCTCTTGTGTCAAGGGCGAAACGTTGCCACAATAAAACCCTACCAATACCGATTTGTATTCAATACCTTCGATAATCACGAAATCCCAGTCGCTTCCAAGCATATTCCGAGATAGTGAACTGTTTCTTTCGTTCCCTACGGTATGCTTGATGCACCAAGGTTGTCTTGTTTTGCGTGTTTTCTTTGATTTTAACAAATAATTGTGCAAGGCTCCATACTGACCCTTCGAGAGTTTGGCTTCTCTCCTTGCTGGGCGATGTGCCGTTTTACTGACTAGTAGTGTGCATACTTGCAGATGATCGCACTCTCTTCAGGCCGAATTCTGTATATGTGCATCGTTATAAGCTTAATTATTACAGATTCTCGGTTGAAATGGCTCACCTAGTCCGTTCCCCTTGTAAAATTGCCTTCTCCGCCTCGTAACTAGTTGATTCCGTAAGTTTTGCTTTTTGAGCATATGATGATGGAAACTAATTGCCTACTCAGCTATCTAGAAAAATCTTCACATAATCTCATCCTCGACCCCGGCTTCTCTTTGCGGTTAATTTAAGCCATCGTTCCCTTCTATTCCTGCGAGCCTAACCTCTCTTCAACACCTCGGTCTACACCCATTCGTTCATAAGCACCTCATTTAGCATCATGTCTTTCTCCCATTTTTAGGCTGCACACAGTATTTGAATGCAGCAGCTCGGTCGACCTGACTATATGTTTTGCCCATACTCTGTTCCCTATCCCGAAAGTTCTTGTTGAATACACCATATTGTATGACATCTATATTTCCCTGTGCTGCCTCTTAGGCCAACTTATTGCGATCTACGTTGGTTTCCGAGCACGGCATCAGCCGTACGGAGCTATCGCTGTCGGAACCAGTTTCACAAGACTTACTTTCCCAGGTGGATAAGCTCGTTACCCAAGCGCTGGAACTGTACCATGAAGCAGGCCCGGCCATTGATCTTGACAGCACCGTACAACGCTTGGAATCTGTCGGATCCTGGCGAGGCGCGGTCGCTTTGTGTTTGGCGGTAGCCTCCAAGCGGGATCCAAATAACATTGCCGTGGAATGTCTGAAAACCGGACGTCGTCCCTCCTCGGAACCGCTGCACCCCGGTGGGAAAGTTGGCCGATTGAATCGCCGCCAGGCATTTGCTCATTCGGAATTGGCCGCCACCGAAGGGCGGTAAGTTTATAATTCAGCCAAATTTATTTTCACCCCCATACTATTCAGGGTTCTCTGTAGGGAGCATTGTCTTTCTATACTGTATCGGGCATTCGTCCTGTTTCCATTTCCTCTATGGTCCTCTGCTTTCCCTCTTATTTTGTTCATTTTCTTATCCTGTTAGATACGACGCATACCATCAGTTAGTGCGATGCATCGAACATCTGTGGGAGTTGACACATCTTCCCCCTAGCAACGTCGATCTGCTCAATCAGACTTCTGCGTCATCCAAACTTGATGGTACAGGCGCACGTGATCTTGGGGCGCAAGCACCATCATCAGGCGTGCATATGGCCGAGCTGAACCTAACCCCCTCATCTGCTCGTTCCTTACTAATGACCATACTTCGAGATATCATTCAGTCTGATGATATCTTGGCGCACTTCGAAGTTCTTGGATGGCTTCTAGCTCATCGGTTAACGGACACAGCCATTGGCCTAAATTCTCCGCACCTAGAGGCTTATTTGCGTTCGCGCCTGCGTCAGACTCCAGACGATCCTGATTTGCGATCTCTTCTATGGTGTACACTAGAGCGTCGTGGAGCCAGACTTGAAGCTGCCCAGGTGTTGGAGCATCTTGCGGTCACTCCTTGCCGTCAGCTCACTTTGGACGCACGACTGGATTTTCTGTCAAGAGCGATCGTTTCGGTAAAAGCTTTGCCAGGTAGGTCTTCAGACACTATACATGCACCTTCTCCCTCTCTGAAGCTGCCTATGCCGTTTTCTTTACTTGGATTACCATCAATTCTGATCAAACTTTTCGCTTCGCTGCGACTATGCGTTGTTTACCTGAACTCTGGCGTACTGTAAAATTTAGCAATGTTTCAAACCCCGCTGTTATTTCGCGTGTCAGAACTCGTTGATCCACTGAGTGAGCAATTGTGACACATTGTTCTAATGGATACATGTTTCTGTTGGAAATCATTTTCCTTACACATCTCATAACCGCCATTAAACTCATAAGAAATTTATTTTTCATTCGAAACTCATCATCACCATCCTCTCGGGTTTTACGTCGCTTCGTGTCCTCTAAACCTTGACACTCACAAGTCTTCAAACTAGTTGCTTCAGCTAATTAGCCATTTGGAGGAATTTCGATAACGGATTCGTGTAGATTATCTGGGTCCTCTGCCCCCCTCCCATTTCCGATCCTGCATTACTTTGTGAACACTGACCATAGCAACTCGTGTTCCGTGCTTTGATCGTACTTTGCAAATTTGGAGATCCTGGAACTTCTCGACAGCATTACCACTAGTTAACCTTGAGTGGGAACTAAATTCTGTCGGCCGGGGGCGGATTAGTTCTTACGTCTCACTTGTACTTCTTCACAGGCAGTCGATCCGAGCTTGTTGACCATCTCGTCTTATCCATGTGCCATACGTTACCACTGCTGATCACGCGTCGGCGCTAGGTTCCAGCGTGCTGCTGCCCACGTAACTACGTCCTATTCCCACGAAAATAGTTTACACTTACATAGGAACGTCAATTCGCCTTTCTTTTACTGTGACTCCATAATCCAATCAAATTGTTCCTTGGTCGCACATAAACCTAGGTCGCACATAACCCTACGAACTCTCATCCAGCGGCAGACGCACATGCCTGGCTTATCAAGCGGCCAGAATCGATCGGCCAGCAGGATGTCGTGCGGTTGTTTCTCCATACTGTGTACACAGGTTGCCAATAAGATTTCTGTGCTTAAAAATGTTCACGAGGTGGGGTCCTTTAATTTGCGATTCCTAACGTCGGGGGTCGGAGAACTCCTTGCGAATTGACGGATCCAGTTCTAGTTCCTATTTCACTGTTGCCTAATTACCGATACTAGAGATAGAGTTGTTATTTTAATCATTCCACTGCTGAAGGATGATAAGATGTAGCTATGGAAAGCATGCGCTGAGGTTGCGACTACTCTTTGTTGCCAATCGCAACACTTTTCTACTGGTTTCGCTTGCGCGCCATACCCCATACACATGTGGTCCGCATTTTTCAATCGCCGCCATGTCATCTGCAACTAACTAGTCGCCAGAATTGGTCCGCTAGAGGGCATTTCGTGTGCTAGTATGCTGGGAAATGGCGATATACCGCACTACTCGGGAATTCTAGTGACCGTGTTCTCGACAGGTGCAACAGGTGTTTCGCATCATATAGCATGTTCGTCGATAAATGTTGGTTCGACAAACGAGAAATGAAATTGTCGTTTATTTCAATCCATCTCGGAGCCGGTTCTTTAGCGGTTTCTCCGATCGATGTAGTGGTCCTCCTTTGGAGCGCAGCATAGCGTTCGATCACAGGTGGGTACAGAGTTGTCAGAAGACCTTGTAAAGCTATCCTGGTGAATGTTGGTGCGTCATGCGAACCAGCATAAGAATAGAACGAATGCGTATGTGTAAAAAGATTCGCTGAAATATCTACTGTCTGGTTCCAGTCGCTATTCTGCTTTCGTTGCCTGGAAAGTGCTAGTAAGAAGCAAACCACTGGTGGAGTACAGTCCAGTTTGCGCCCTTGCGTGACCCAATTCGTCCACACGCCGGTAGCTTCAACCGAACAAACATGGTTCATAGTTAGAAGGTAATTGGGGGATTTTTTGAGAGGGTTCCTCGCAAGCAGACAGGCATCACATTTCAAGGAAAGCACTAGACGGCCGTTCGTGCTATTGAGACTTGTCAGTAGCGCTCACCTGCAGGATTCTAACTTATGGCTTACTAGTCAGCGACCTAACACGCTGAGTCATGGGTAACCTCGACGGGTCGCCATGATTGAGTTCTAGCTTATCCTCCACTGCCATGCATGTTATGAACGTAAAGAGGACAAGGTTGTCCATAGCAGCTTGTATGCAACCCCGATTAGTAGCGGCTTGCAAGGTAGTCGTAGCTCTGGGGTCCAACCTTGTCCTCTGCACATTCATAACATTGCATGACAGTGGAGGATGCGCCGCGCTATATCGCAGTTAGAAGCTAGTCATGGTGATCCGCTGCCATTGCCCATAGCTCACTGTCACAGGTCACTAATTTGCAAGATTAAGGTCATGGATTCAGATCCTGCAGGATCCAGCCGATGCTTTCTACTAACAGGTCCCAATAGGACGAAACGGTCGTCTAGTGCCTTCCTCTACGTGTGATGGCCTGTGTCTTTATAGCTCATGATTGTAAAACCGGCAATGTTGCTTTTAGCTGGACTTGGTAACTCACTAAACCATGTGGTTACTGATGTAACGCATGTGGACACCACAGCTGCGGAGTTGTTTTACTGGTTGTTGTCTTGCTCAGTTCAGAGCAGACAGTTTAAAGCCTTACAATTGCCAATGCGGAATTCTTGAGGCCGCGAGAAAAGAACCAGCAACGCTGGGGGCGTTCTTCGACGGACCATCCTACTCCTTCAGTCAATCTATTCACCATCACGGTTGTGGAAAAACCGACCGCCATGTTCACACGCGGCAAAGTATCATCGAGCCTAAGGTACAGCAATCGTTTTAGACAGTGTGTGGATCCTAATATCATCACCCAGTTTCTGTTTCTGGTTGAATGGCTACTGAGACCGCCTTCTCACATGTTGTATGTAGTGTCAGTGAAACCCGAGCAGTTTGAGAGCTGTGATGCATACACGTGCAGTTGTAATTGCCATCGCTTTTGTGACAACAGTCCAGCAAACCGAATTCATCTAACTTGGACGTTCGAGTCATGGTTGATCAAATCAACTGTCATTGCTCTTTACCCAGTATTCGATCTGATCGACTTCAGCCTATCTCTCCACGAACAGAAACTAGTCCTCATAAATTGTGTTGACCGTTTCCTCTTCTACCACTTCCGCTCGGTTTTACGTGTTCTGTCATCCATACTTGGCTGGTATTTTCTATTGTAACCGCCCGGGTTCTAGTAAACTGCTTCGTCTCCTAAACGTTCACAAACCTATTTTTCTCTCAGGGCTGTTCCCATGAGGTGAATCGCACTTCCCACGCTTTGGCCCACTCGATCATGCGCTTCAATTAATGTCTCATTCTTGTTACTTTTAATACCGTTGGTTCTTCCCACTAACCACTCATAGTGCATTGTTCTCCAAGTGCAGAAGTTCGTTTGCTGGCGTATCGTCATCAGGTTGTGGTGTAGCCTCTGCAGCCAAGGTGCTAGCTTCCGAAAGCCACCCAACATCCTCATCCACACCCTGAATTACTGATTCCTTCAATGATTGTTATTGACCAATTGTACTGAGTATGTTTTAGGTCACTCTAGATTATCCAAACTTCCTCCAATGACATTCTCATTTGGAGAGATTCCAATGATCACCGCCGTTGCACCGCCATCAGGGTCTTTTCTTTCCTATCCACCTTTATGGTTGTCACATTCTACTTTCCTAGCCGGACAGCAAAATTTGGACTACTTGCATGATTTAGAATCACGGCTCGAACTGGCTCAACTGCAACAACAGCTCCATGTCGAATTGAGCCATCTCTCCTCTCCTACGTCACCCACCTCTCTCCGCATGCGGTCTCCTCGTGGACCCACTGATGGCGACTTGTCAGATGCTCTGTATAGACTCAGCCACGGTCCTTTACTCTCCTTGAGTGATATGTTCACTGATTATGCGGATAAATTCGGTTTACACGAATCCAAATTGGCTCTCCTGTGGACCGGGGATTCTGATGTAAGTAATTCCTCGGCGCGTTCTGTCTAAACCGAGTTAGACGGAAAATCTGTGCCAATTAACTCTCGGCACATGTATTTTTCTCCTTTGAAATATAGTTCTAGTAATGTTATTTGCCAGATGTTTGTGACCCCACATTTATGCCGCTACTAATGTGACACACGTGCTGTATGATTTGTGTATTTAGATTAAACTTTCGAAACTGAAAACCGCACTACCTTGCGCTAAACATCACATTCCCTGGTGATATGGCAAGCACCACTTCATTCGCCTCCGTCATTTTGATACTTGACTCCAGGGGCACAGTTTGAACAGTGTTTCCATTACGGAACGCGCTGCGACCCAACAGCCATCCTGCTCACATTGTCCAGTTTGCGTTTCTCCTCCCATTTCTAACCTCAATAGTGTGCCGGTTGGGGATGTGTGTGTGTGCGTTGGCTCCGAATCATTCGTAGTTCAAATCCACATGTTTCCTGATCTTATTCATTTAAGCCTACACTGGATATCGGGCATTCGAATGCCTCTGTGCCAGCTACCCAAGGCATCTTTGAGGTCGCAGACATTTTTAGACTGTTCGTTTTAATGGCACTGCTGACAAGGTTGGGAACACATACTGCAACATTTTACCACTGTTTTGTACAATTCTACCGGTTTTACTCCTTAAACATTACTCCGCTTGTCTATTCCCAGACCTCCCAATTGTATGACCATTAAGAGTGTGCTTCTGTTCTTTGATCTGGACATTTCTGTTTGATTTTTATTGCCAAGCTAGGCAATATCTTCAGTGCGGCTATCAAGCTCTGATTTGCGCGATCTCGTAAGCCACTGCCAGCTCCGATTGACTATTATCGTTCTCTGTTTTGGATGCCAGCCTTCGATTTGTTCACATGGGTCAGCCGTTGATCATGTTTTCTCCCTATCGACCTGATGCACCGACTGTGTTAACCACAGGGGTATAGCCTAACACTAATTGTGTCATAATTACTGGCCTCGTTTCTCCTTCCTCGCCTCATTGCGGAACGGGAATCCCAGATTAGAGAAAAGCAAACAAGTTTCCGCCCATGTCCGGGCTATATAGACCGCATATACACTTAGCGGCAGGTGCTACAGCCGCACCACGCATACCACAGACCGACAATAGCTGTGTTCCTCGACTTCAAGGCTGCGTTCGACTCAGTCGATCGATGCATTCTGTTTGAAATGCTTCCACGAAAAGGTGCTCCGATGAAATATGGGAACATTTTACGTGCTTTATACTCAAACACGACAGACAGCGTCAGGATCTGGGATGACTCATAGGATATCTTCCCGACAAGTGGCATCTATCAGGGTTGTCCAGTTTCCCCATTTTTGTTCAACTTCATCGTGGACTCCATTATGATGTGCTCCTTAGCGGAATCTCACGATGCGGGCGTTGAGGTGCTGCCTAGTGAAAGGCGGCAATCCACCTCTCTTGTGTGGTCTCATCATTTGATATGCGATTCACACCTTCAAACTGCAGTGTTGTTGCAGATCACCAGCCGTTTGATGACGCTTGATGGCGAGGAACTCGAGGTTAGTTCATCATTTCACCAACCTTGGCAGCTGTATCAGTAACGATGGGCTCACAACCACTGAAGTCAATTCGGGTATTGCAAAAACTAGAGCCGTCTTTTTGGATCTGCGCGACATCTTTGCCACCAGAAAGGAGTTTCACTCAGTTTGGAAGATTGTGTTTACAAAGTCATGATGAGTGCGTTTCTGCGAAGCATTGCTGGTGTCGGATGGTACCAGCATGTCCGCAACGAGGGTATGCGTAGGCGTGTACTACTCAATGACAACCAAACTTGTTCCTTAGAACTACTGCTAGCACTGAATAAGCTGCGTTGACTTGGGCACTTGCTATGTATGCCCAGTCACCGCTTACCGGGAGACTTTGTTTTGTTTATCTGGTGTAGTGTGGCCCAAGTCCCGAGGTGGGCAAAATTAACTTGGCAGCAAGAAATGAAGTCACTGACGACCAAACTCAGCGCCGTTTTGCCTCCCTGGCTGGAGTCCACGTGACCAGGTTTATGCTTGGCTCGAGACGTTACTGGGCATGGTTCGCACTTGACACCAGTGGCGTATATGCTGTCGCATCCTCGTCGAACCGCCTGTTTAAAATGTGTTTGGTGCTGACTTATCTGCGGGGTAATGGCGAACTGTGACGCGGGGCAGTGAAAGCCGCAAAGAAGTTGTCTCGCTGAGGCCGCTTTACCTTTGCTTGATAGCCAGGTGTTTGTGAGGGCATATTGTTAACACAAGGTGTAGGCGCCTTGATGCTAAATGTTTGTTTAGGGCATTAAGATTTTCCGGAAAGTGCCCCTTCCCTCCCTCTTCTCATTGCTTTCTCCGCAGGTCGTTGTGGTTTTTTGGCAACGAAGCACCAGTTCAAATGGCTGCTGTGGATGATGATGCTGACTTAACCTGCAGAGGTTCGTAAAAACCCTCTAGCTTCAAATGCTATTTGTTTAAGTTCCGACCCGAATGCCAGACCTTGATGAACTCAGTCGCTCTGCTGTCTCTTGCTCTTTCGAGTATCGACGCTCTTCAGCTCAAGCTGATCATCCTTGATATCCATATATATAGTAACATTAAGGATTTCTCATCATGGCGATGGATCGTCAGACTATGTTCATGCAGCCTCTGGCCTAGGTAGTACTTGTCACAATTTTCGTAGAAGCTTTGTAAATCACAACTGTTTCTTCTCTTATACAATTCGTCTTTTACCCTGAAACGTTTACTCCCGATAGTTCCCGTCGCTTCCTGTGCAACGTCGATCCCGTGCGGCATTAAATACCTCGCTACCATATAAATCCCATTGATGTAATGTAGAATAATCGTTTTCTTTTATGTTTTACCTAAGGATGCGAGTTGTGGCTGGTTCTTCGACATCAGGCAGCGTATAATACAACTTTTAAGGTAGGAATTTCGCTAAACATGTTAACTAAGTAGTCCTCCTCTGCGTTCCTCCGTTGCAGTGTGTTACATTGTGTTTGGGCCCGTTTGAAAAGTGTCCTCGCACAACTGCGCAGGTATTCTCAATACTTTTCTAACTAAAGAGCAATTGTTTGATACTTTATCGCAGCAACTTCAAACAGATAGTCTTCCACACGCCCAGTAAAACATTGGACGACAGTTTCGTCCCATCGGGACTCGTCAGTAGTGCACACCCGGAGGCTCCACATCAGGATGCAAACACGAGCACTAGCGGCTTGCACTACCATCCAAAAGCTTATGTCACAGACGCGGGGGACAGCGGTGGACCGTCATGGTGTACAGGCTAACTGCGATGAATTTCCAATTAATTGCATCATGAGTCTAACAACAGTGGTTTACTAACGCTACCAGTGTTTGTACAGTGCCATTTCCCTATACACTACTTCTTTGGTTTGATACTTTGGTGTTTCTTTTCACTGTCTATTCGTGTTGCCAAATCATCAAATACCGGCACATTATATTAGTCAGGTTTGTTTTCTTTTTATCCTTTCTGTTTACAAGCGCACTTTTCTCTATTCTATCAGGATGAGGCTCTCATCACAGCAATATGGCGTGATTTATTGCGTCACGTTCTTTACCATGGAAATAAAGACACATCTTTTCAAGTAACTTCTTCGTCTCCACGGGGAACGGTGTCGGAAGCTGGTCGACAGAACTCTGCAGAGTCTTCTCGTCGCCTAACCGAGATCGCTTTGGTTGATTGCCTCTCGCGTTTATGGTCTCGTTTTGCTCCTGACAATCGTGTATCGTCCACCAAGTCGCAACTCTTCTTCCCACTTCGTAAGTTTACATCCAGTCATGTTCGGTTCCGTTCACTTTGACCTGAGCGCCGCAACAGTATATATTCGCTCTGCATCATCGACGTCAACGCACACCCGTTGCGTGTGGCTCGGGCGTATGACTTGCAACCGATGCGCATCGGGTCATGTAGTCTTTAGTACTATCCGTGTTTCAGCGCCATGACAGGACCCTAGTCTACGTGCATCCAATCGACGGTTGTAAACAGTTTCATAGTATGTCCAACATTCTGAGACCGATGAGCCTCAAGGGCAATCGGCACATTTACTGGATAGCCAATGTTCATGAGGTGGTAGGGCGAAACGCTGTTCGATACGCATGCCCCAAAAAATAGGCCTAGGGAGTGATGCGAAGCGAACGGTTGATCTCTTCTCCGGCTCATTGTGCGTATGGTAGGTCGAATAATTTGGTGAACAGTTCTGCATAGCGACTGTGTCGTCCTCCTAAGAGTCCCGGCCGAATGCTTCTAAAAGCCATAGTTGTTTCTCTCTCTCTCTCTCTCTCTCTCTCATTTCTTTTACTTCGGAGTGCTCGTTGTGTACGAATGGATTTCCGCACGCATACATAAATGCGCACGCAGAAATACGCTCACATGTATGTATGCCGACTCGGAAAAATTGAGCAGTCTTGACATTCCCCTATTTTGCCTTGGTAGATGTCTGAAATTTAATTAAAATTAATTCTCTCATTTTACATTCAAACGACTGATGTGGAATCTTGACTATATGTTGAATTCGTTTGACTGAACCGAAGAACTCGCCTATGGTCGGATCGCTCGCACACCTGCGACGCGCTCTGCTACTTCCGATTCCTTGGCTAGCGCGCTTCACCGCCGTCGTGTTCTAACGTGGCACTCTTTTATGCATGAAATGAAATCATGTCGTTTCATTAATCTGAATAATACAGAAACAAGACGAACACTGGTAGATGCGCGCATTTCGTATCATCTCTTTAGTACCGTGATGTTAACACGAAATAATCAAGCGTATAATCAAAGGGTGTCAACTGACTAATCACATGTATCAGAGTGAACGGCGACCATTGCCTTAAGACGACGGCAGCCAAAAACTGACAACCATTTGCATTTGCACACATAGGGTCATTCTCAATCGGTTTATCGTCACGGTCCCGGCGAATCTCAAAAACCGGGAACTAGGATGACGCAGTAGAATCTGGAACGCCGAGACATAGTTAACTCAATGATGGGACTCCGAGACATGCCTGCCTATTGATGACGTTGCTGGCTGGTGGCGAGCTGGTTGACCTCACCTTTTATCCAGTTTGGCTAGTGTTCCTTCATACTGGAATTCAAATCCCTCTCTGTTTTGTCTGTGTAACTGATTCCGCACTCATTAATTCGGTTTCTGAACCGATTTTTGAGCTCTAAAATTCTCACGTGGATGAATACGGATTTTCATATAAGAATATCAAGCAAATGACTGTGAATAGCACATTCTTATTGCAGTAGATTGTGTTGTACCGAAATCTCCAGACAGTAACATGAAACCGTTTCAACTCTGAGTGGAGCTGGCAGGAACTTCGTGACTACCAGGGAGGATTCCTTGCTCCATTTATCTGCTAGGCGAACTACTGGTGCACTTTCTGTTGAGTTCTCTCGCGTTATCCAGTCTTTCAGAAGGTCACTTTGTTTCGTAGTACAATGATGACACACTTAACCTACCCTATAGACAATCATGTTTGTTGTTGCGCCGTAATGCCGAGGCGGTTGTTTTCCAGTCACGATCGCCTCATTGATTTATTCGAACAGCGTTACCACCGTTGCGCGAACTTACTCAGGCACTATCGATGGCATACGTCCGGTCAATGCATGCGCACGCGTGTCATGCGGTTTATCGTGATGTTCTCACGTGTTGGGTTTCATTTGGCGAGTTTTTACCTCGCTTGAACTGATGCTTTTCAGTGCACAATGTTAACAGTCACTTGTACGCTTCACTATATGGGCCTCGACGCATCTCCCCTGTTGGGTCAATTGGAGTGCTATCCATCCTGAATTCTGATTCCAATTCACCATAGTTTCATTGGCACTAGCAGTACTCTTATATTTCTCGATTCTTCTCAATTTTATTCCGAAGCTGGGTTACTTGCCCCGCGCGATTTAGCGTCTGGAGAGCGAACGGTGCGCGTAAAGTGTCTAATCCAGTCACATATATGTAATTTCTGCTGATCCTCCGGTGCTCATGTATACAGAGTGAGGGATTGTTAAAATCCTTGCATTCATGTCTTTTTCCAAAGACACTACGGTATCACTGGGGGGTCGAATGGTGTGTTGGGTTCATCACGGCTCTGGATGGCAGTTTCTTCCTTTCGGTAACCGTCAGCAGTGCGCCCCTTGTAGGTCCACATCTTTTGCGTTTTGGAAGCCGTTACTCCAGGGTGCTTCACTGTTCTATGTACATCGAACAGCTGTTCTGATATTTAGTAACTCAGTCATGTGGGTCGTAGCCGACTCCCGTTAGAGTCTACGGATAGACTTGAAGCCATAAAGAACAGCGGAAGGCACAGTTATCACCAAAAGAAGTCCAACACAACACTGACTAACCCATGGTTTGTCAGAGTGCGCGACGCTACCCGATTGTCCAAGCCGAAGTAGGGCGTCGTCTTAGGGGGCACCGCTCAGTCTTTCTTTGAACGTCGTATCCATAAGGCAACAGAGCGAATTCCGGGGACTGCACTCATTTGGAGCAGATGATCGCCTTGATCGATCACCAAACAGAAGTCTAATCCTCCCCACAATTTCAGTATCAGGCTGCTGGTATACCCTGCTCCAGCAATATAAAGGAAGAGGCAGTGACTTTAGTGGCGAGTCACATCCGCCACGGACATATGTGGGTTTTTTTAGTGAGAACGCGTGCCAGGCGAAAACCCACCACTTCCTGGAACATTACCGCCAAATCATTCGCTTGAACGGGATAGTCCTGAAGCACCCAACTGGCACCAAGCAGTCGCTCTTGAATTATAACCCTACATTAGTTAGATGGAATGCACACTGCTGACGATTCTCGAAGGGATGTAACAGTGCTTTTTGAACGAATGGTAGCTATCTGACTGAATGTGGCCGTAATTAATTCATTTTTTATCATATTGCCGTAGCTTACCAATTTTCTCGATGCTACTGTCCCACTGATGTGCTAGCTTTATTTTCTTTTTTCTGCATTTTGGTGTCAGTTGAAATCGTTTCCACTCTGGAATATCACGCAATCCGACAGAGATTACCTACCGACTGGGTCCCCACCGTATTACGTGACGCTCGTTTGACCTGCAGTGCTAGCGCCTTGGATGCTTACGATTCGCTGCTACATTCCAAGGACAAACTTTGGCGCCATTCTGAAGTGCGTGACCGCCTGTTTGTCGCGTTCGTCACAGTGATTGAAGACTTTCTGAGCACAGTATCCGTCCAACTGCCGATGCGACAGCGTATGCTTCAGACTGGCCGCATCTTGGACTGTGTCATAAGCAACCTGGTGGACTTAAATGCGAATCCCCTCAAGGCGGACGAGGAGACTTCCAAGGGTGTACGTGCTCCCAGTGTGATTGATCGCCTTCGTCAGGTACACGATCAGTTACAACGGTTTTACCGATGATGCGGATGATATGAGGTGCTGAAAATCCTAGGCATCCGTCACTGTGTGCAAGCTGTTTCTCTTCACTGTAAATTCTCTTCTTGTATGTAACATTGTTACAAGTGTTTGCAGATTACATTCCCCTTCAATTTCGATCAACTCTCTCTCTTTTCTACCGCTTTGCTTAGGTCAAGCAAGCGATCTGAATTCACTGATGAATCCTGTATGCCTAAATAATTGGTCTTCAGGTAAACTTAATTTAACTTGGACTCAAACGCTTCGATCACTGTGATCGAACCGACCGAGTTTCGATCCAAGAAAGGAGTGCGTGACGTAGTTCACCCACACAAAACAATTCAGAGCAAGCAAGCTATGAGCCTCAATTGAATTCATCACAACTAGGTTTCTTACTTTCGGGAATAAGCATGGCCCCATCAAAAAATCATGGAATGTGCAGTTGGCGAGAAAGAAAATGGTACACATCCCAGGAAAATCCATCGTTTATTTGAGGACCCAATACCACCGGGTTGTCCAAGCCGTAGTAAGGAATTGTCTTAGGATACACCATCCCGAGCCTTTGGCAGAATAACCTACCCGCAGCGAAGCGAATTAGATGATTGCGCCCATTTGGGGTCGGTAACTGAGTACTCATTTTTATATTATGCCTTTTGGATCCGATTCTCTCCACTATTCTCGCTTCATGTTGCTTCACTCGAGCGAAGCAAGATGCTGTTACTTTATTTAGTGGTGAGTCACATCCACCACCATCCTAGAACACTGCCGTCAAACCATTCGCTGGAACTGCATAAACCTGAACCTCCCAGTTGGCTCCACGTCAAGTTTATTCGACGAGCTAGCCCACTAGTGCTTACTCCACATGTCTTCTGACAGGCTAGAACTCTCGACTCCACTCTTTGCTCAATAGTGTCAAGACTACCCGCTCTCTCACTCTAGAAATCACGAGTCACTGTTGCTTTGTTTAACCCATCCGTTGTGTTGTGTAGCTATAGCGATACGCATTCTCGATTGGGACCTAAACTCGCTTTGGGGTCCAAGCACTGGGACCGCATTCGAAGCAGATGGGTATTGACTGTTATTACTTCGCAACACTGCACTGTGATCGGTATTGAGGTTGTTTGCACACATCAAGTTGATATAGTAGAATTGAAACTGCATCCCGGGTCGTAGGGATCACCAGTCGACGCGTTTAACCCCTAAAGTACCACCTGGTCGCAGCGAGTAAGACTTGTCACCTCAGTTGGTAATACGGTGTCTGGTTCGTTGGGAATACCCCCCCCCCACCTAAAGTACTCTAGTAAGCACGTGAATCGGTATTCTCAATGTTCGCGTGGCGCAGTTCCAACACACAGCGTGTATGCCAACTCGGTTTGGCTGACTGTACAGTTGACCAACTAAGATCTGTGCACTGAGGTGTAATGGACCAAGTCACCACCATCGAAGCAATCACAATAACACTGAAAGCACATGCAAAGTATAAGATCACCAATCAAACAGCTACGGACGAGGTCTCAGGAACAAAGGCGTAAGTACCACTGACTTTGTGATTATGGCATCTATCTAAGGTGGCCAGATTTTTTGCGTACCAAAGCTGGACATTTGCCCTACCCCCTCGTGGCTTCAGTGTATGCAGACCATACAAAATATCGCAAGACTAAATATCTACCTATATTCACTATAATAACAAAGAGTACTTACGTCACTAGTCAGTACAATGGCTGCGCTGCTGTAGTTGATGTGCTGTTTGACTTTGTATCATCTGGAACCACAATTATAGAGCAATACTTCTCAGATGAATATATTTTCCGTAGTAGATTTGGGCGCTGCATCAGCATATCGTGAAGTAGTCCGCAGGAATACCTGGTGCTCTTGTCTTCAAAATTTCATTTCACCAGAAGCATCGCTTTCAGTGTTTGGGCGCTAAAGCTGCGTTCTCTCGCTTCTCCATACAGTGTTCATCTTTGAGGAGATTCTTCCAATTGGTGCATTAATCCCAGGGAGACAGAGATTAAATTCAATACGTTTTCGTACTTGTTCACATAGGGGACCGATTTGATCGCATGTCAACTTTTATTTGTTTGTAGTTCCAATCGGAAATTTCGTCAGCTGACGCAAACGTACATACGTTGTTAACTTCGCCAAATGGCTCGTCTTTGGTTTCCAGATCTGGAAGTTTAGGTTCAAAAAGGCTGATGCTTGCTTCAACTTTTTCCCCAGACCGTGGTTGTTTCAACACTACCCAAATGAAGGCACTCAGTTCTTGAAACTGGTTCATTCTTTCCCGTAGATTATCGACGCAG